AAAAAAAAAAAAAAACTATTCTCTTCTTCCATAAATCGACGGAATTCGTTCACGGAATAACTAGACCGCGCTGTGCAGTTAAACCACTTGGGATCGAGCAGCAAGAGTCTGTTTGCTGGGCGATTTACAGCGAATCCTTTCGGAACACACGGAAAATTTGGTCATTGCAAATCCACTTGTCGCTTTTATCAGGATGCGCGCGATCGGCTTATTGGAACTGAATTTTGCACGTGGCGTATCTCGTTTATCAAGACACGTAGCGCGTAGAGTCCAGCCGAATGAATAATTCCAACGGATAAACCGAAACTATAATTTTACTTTAACGTAAATCTATTTATCTTATCTCAGAATCATTTTGATTAAAATTTTATTCTAACCAAAGATATCTTTACAGCAGAATATTATACAGATAAAGTTGTCACGTGTGAAACATTTAATTTATTCCGAAAAATGTGATTTACATTTTTTTATATTAAAGTAATTTAATTTTGCGACGAGTTGCACATAAAGAATAAAAAGACTTCGGCTTCGAAATAAGATTTGAATTCAAACATACTCAAGATTTTCATGGTATGCATTAATAAACGTAATTATTTTTTAGCAGACGTTGCATAGCATTGTAAAAATCTATTCTTCGATTGGTGGCGGAAATCGAAACGCAGGGATTCGTATCGACACGCGATATAATTTTTTGGAGACTCGGAGCAACGGCTCATAAAAGACTACGTGTTACCTATATAGTACAGTAAATTATGAGCTGCGGGGTTTTTGGTTTTGAAACGAAGCAATTAATACCTGAATTTTTCCCGTGACTGGTTACTGCGTGTATCTGGAAAAAGACACATTTATTCTTCAAATATATAATATATACGAGCTGATTTTTCGTTAGTCCAGAGTGAATTCACATTTCAAAATTTTAATTTGACGTTTAACAAAAATAATGAAAAAATATTGCGTTTAATTAAAAATGTCCAAGATTTCACAAATGAAAAGAGAGAGAATCGTGGAACATGTAAAATATTTTTAAAAAAATTATAGAAACAATAATAATTTTATTAAATAATATAACTAAAATATCATTTTACTAACCTGAGCAACGGCCTCCCGTCGCTGAAAGGAACTTTTTTCCGCATCCGGTAGTTTCTCCGATTTCTTGATCTCGCGAATATGTTCCTGGCAACCATCGGAATCCCGCGACGGCGGTATTCCGGGGGCTTGCCTCTTTCTCAATGTGTTTGCGTCGTTGTCAGTAACGATCTCTGCGGATTCATCCTCGTCGAAAGTTCCCGAGTGGATCACAGTGAAACCGCCCAGGAACTGTACCGATTTTTTCGCGCCAGTTTTAGCGAGTGGCGCACGTGTCTCCTTGTCAATAACGTGCGAGTCGCTCTTTTCGTACCCTCTCGTCACCTTCGATTCCTCTTTCGCCATTTTACAAATTGAATCGTCGGCAGAAGCTTCCGGGACCTTCGTGGCGAACGTCGAAAATTGATTTTTATTAAATGACGTTTCGAGTATATTGTTTGATTTAACGCTTCTGCTTCCGCATTTTGTTTCCTTTCCTTCCATTATTACTTCCGGCTGCGAGTTCCTCGCGGCAACGGGTGGCGCTTGGCTCTTCGTGGACTTACGCTTAATTACTTTCTCTTTATCTTTACTTTTAGAATGTCTCTCGACGGTCGTCGCGTCGCCCCGAATCTCGTAATACTTAACGAAGCTCCTAACTTTACCCGGGGTTATCGTTACAATGTCGCGGGATGATTGGTCGTTACTTATGTTAACTACGGGAGTTACGGCTTTGTTATTGTCATTATTATTACAAGGGATTATGGAAGTAGTTTTCCTAGCTATGGCACATTTATCGTCGCTACCCATTGTATCGTCTAATAATGCTAACATCGATCGGTTCGCGACTCTCCTTTGATCATCATCGGCCTCGCTGACCGTAATTACTTCATCAGTCTTTTCTTTGCTGTGACTGTGAGTCTGTTTCGAATTTATCTCGTATTCCCTTTCATTTTCCAGACTGCGCGACGCAACTGTGATTGCCTCGAATTCTTTGCTATCGAAAATCTTATTCATGGTTGCGGGCGCTCCGATGGGAATTCTTTTTTGAAACGTACTCATCTGCTGCTGCTCGCACTTGGCGCTATTTTTCTTAAGTATCGTCTTGGGGACGCGAATGTCTCGCAATTTTTTAGATTCTTGTTTAACTTCATCAGCATCTTTTATACCTTCGGACGTTTCCTCGACTCTTGTCTTTACGCAGATCTCTTCTGCTCTGATATTCGAAATATTTTCTTCGATCGTCTTTTCTATAGATCGGTCATTCACAGTTTTATTTTTGATATTACAGGATTCGTTAAACTTTGTTACTTCATTATTTTTATTCTTTATGATTTTCTCACCAATCGCTAAATTATAAGTGCTATTTTCGAGATCTTGAAGTCTTTTCTCAATGTTTATTTCCGTGAGGTTTTCCTTTGCGATTTTCTTATCGATTGCCATGTTATTATTTATGCCAGTAATCTTGGCGCTTATAGAAATATCGCAAACTTCGTTTTCAGATTTCTCAAGTGATTTGGATGCTCTCTCTTTCTCTTTAGAAATTCCATTATCCATCGCGATTGAGCGGGCAATATTTTTGTCACCGTCAATCTTCACCGCTGATTTCTTATTTTCGGGATTCACTATTTTTAACTTTATGTTACTAAAGTTGCAGAGCAACTCGTTCAGGACGTCATTCTTTACGTCACAGGCGTTTTTATTCTCTGATTGCATTGATTTTATGTCAGCGCTTGAAACTTTGACAATTTTTTCTTTCGCTTTTTTAGAGTCTTCTTGGTTCTTCGTGTCTACTTTCGTCGTTTTGTTATAGAAATTACACACGTCTTCATTTTTTTTCGTGATATCCAATTCTTGAATTTTATTTGCTGATTCATTCGGTATGCTTAATTCTTTATTCATGCTCATAGAAGATACTATAGTTTTAGTAGAAATTGCATAATTTATGGAGGTATCTATTGAATTATCAGTCAACATAGTTTCCAAAAAAGAATTTCGTCTAATCTTCACGGGAACGCTTTTCGCGAAAATCTCTTTCGATGACGAAGCTTCTTCGCGATTATATTTAGAATCCACAAAATCGCTTTTTTCTTTATACTCTTTCGTCGACAATCGTCGAGTGTCTTCGATTCGGAACGATCCGTTTGTAAAGTTATTAGTAAGAACGCTCGATTTATCGTCATCGCGGTTATTTAAAAAACTTAGAAGTGACTCATTGACGAAAGTTTTCTCGCTTTCGATAATATACTTATCTTTGATATCATCACCAGTTTTATTCAAAGATATTTCTTCTTCTCGATGCGTACTTTTCTGAGTTATTTTTGCCGAGTTTGCTTTTTCATTATTGCAAACTGCTTCTAAGCTTTTATCTGTAAAGCAATAAATGCTGTCTGCAATTTCTGAAGAAGTATCTAACATCCCACTTTGATCTATTACCGCGTATTCATCGTTCATGATAATTTCTTCCGTTATTGTACTCATCATATTTTCATCTCCGATTCTGAGATTTTCATTGCTGACATGCTCGTTCCACGATATGAAATTAGAATCCTCTTTACGAATCTTCTCGTCATTAATATTATCATAATGAGTTTGTGGAATTGTCTTTAATTTCATGTCAACTTCGTTTGTGTCGGTTATCATAAAAGGATCGTGTTCTCTCGTCGCGGTATTTTGTCTCTCGGCACTCGAACCGCATAATTTATCTCGCAAATTATCGTCACAATCTTTTACGTCCGTACATTCCTCTCGAATTTCAGATAATTTTACGAAAGAAGCGATGCTTTGTTTGCTAGATTTTTCATCGTCAAAAACGGATTCGCAGCTTTGTAAATTATCACGTGGCACATCGATTTTTATATTATCGTAGTGTTTGGAAGGAGACGAGTCGATTACGAATCGTACTTTTGTGCCTGTACGATAATCGTTATCAGAACTGTCAAAACTAGATAATCTTTTCGTCCGATCGCTTTTATTTTTGTTATTGTCTAGTCGGTAGTAATCGAGTTTCTCTATGAACTCATCATTATCGAAAGAGTCTCTCCATCTACCTAGGCACTTTTCGAATGGAAGATTCGTCGTCGTCACGCGAAAAGAGATATCATCTTCGTCATCCAATATTTGCGCCGTCGACGATTTTTCCTCGAGGGTCGCTGAAGGCGCGCTTTTATCTCCGTCCCACGGAGACGCGGCACACATTACATCTTCGAAATCATGTAGCGTGAAAAAAAGAGGCGGATATTTGTCAAGTGTTCTTCGCTTAGGTAATGCGATGTCGGGGAAAGGCAGAAGTGGCGGTTTCAAAGCGGCCGACTTTGCCGGAACTAGGTCGTCGTTTGCTTTGTCGATTCTCGATGGGATTTTTCTCGCGAATATCGTATCGTCGTCGCGCGATTGTGGAGAGTTCGTTTCGATCATATCCGTGGCGATGTCGTCGTTGCAGTTCTCGCGACGGAATCGTTCGTTGATACTTTCGGCCTTCGAATAGCTCGCCGCGATGTCGCATTGCGGGTCGCGATTTTCGACGGCAGATCGAGATTTGTTCCATTGACATTTTTCTGACAGGAGCGGCTGCAACGGACTTTTTTGCCGAGATCTTGCATCGTCGTTTGTCGCTTCCGTTGCATCGCTTCTCGTTATCGATGACGCGATCGGTGCAGGTTTGTTCTTACGTTTTGTTCGTTGCGGTGGCACGGGTGGATCAGTCGATTTTCCGTTATCTATGATGAAAAAAGAGATTTGGGGTTTTAGAAATATATTGTTTGGTTTTGATAAAAACAAGTGATTCTTAATGACTCTTTCAGAAAAATATAGATTATAATAAAATGTTTAAAATTGATATATTATGTTTATGTTGCGATTCTTACAGTTATACATAACACGAACGAAGATATAAATATATGCTTTACGGGCGAATTATTAAATTAAAACGCGAGCGCGAGAGAGTAACTACGATGTCAGACCGTTCGAGGCATACTGAAGATGATTCCTTAGCAATGACATGGTAGACGCCCCCTTCTTTCTACATAATCGATAGCAATACTTATATATCAAGCTTTACTTTTATCCTAAATATAATTGCATTAAATATAGAATTGAAGAAACATTGCATGATATTATCAGGAAAATTGTTTTATTGTATAAAATATTATAAATAGATCAGTGAAAAAAATATGCTACATCCAATTTGAACTTTAGTCTATTCAAACGCTGATTTAAGGAAAATATGAGCAATTTACTTTATGAAATTATTTTAGTACTTGAAAAATATATGAAGCAAAATAGTTTTCTTTTTGAAATATACGATATCGTGACTCTGTTTAATATTTTTGTTCAAGGAAAGAATAGTAAGCGCTACGAACGGAGTACTTTAACAACTTCATGCGGGGCTTCGCCTGCTAAATGGATGATGGCAATTCAATTATCTGTGACGAGTGACGTCAACTGTTCGATACGATCGCGCGCAGTGTAATATAGAGGTAATAGTCTTTTAGTAAATAAAATTTTTCGAAACGTTTTATCAGTAATAATTCGAAATGTAATAAGTCGTCGAAAAAATTACATGCAAATATGAGATATATATATGAGTATTGTATTGTTTACCTAAATAAAAACTTGACGGCTTGTTCTACTGACGTCGAAATCTTCTATAGATAGCAGCATACTGGCAGATTTTAGCGCGTTATTGTCAACGAAATCAGTCATATATAGACTGTTCGCATTATTATGATTGCCCATCGCGCTGGACGCGGCACTACTATATGCGCTCGAGGTGTTCTGCACTGACGCTACATCCGTGGTTTTCTGAACGATCCATTTGTTCATTATACTGGACGTTTCCGCCTCTGATGACACGTCGAATTTGATGTCACTGCGAACGAAGGAAAGATCGGAAGGGTTAATTTTGCGAATAGAGAAAAATTCTTATTTTTACAGTGCAATGTAAGAATTATTTAATCCAGCAAATTAATCGTTTATATACCGGATTGATATTTAAAACGGTGCATTCTAAACTCATTTACTAATACTGATGTAGGTAAACTCGTTTTTGCAAAACATCTTTCATCGTCTTAGTAAATTTTTAAATGTATTGTATTAGCGTTAAAGAATACTCACTGTAAGTAATGGTTCTCTATAGGACCCTGGTCATCTCTCAATTCTATATTCTTTCGGTTAGCGGGTTGCGAGAGAACCAACTCGACCGTTTCAGATGAGCTCTGCAGCATCTTCAGAGCGTCCTCATATCGAAGGTTGAGCAGATTCTGACCGTTTATTGCTACGATCCGGTCACCTATCACAAAAAATTTAATCAAAGGCATTTATTTTTATATATTTATATTTTATTTTTATATTTTTTAATTTATTTATTAATGCGTATATATTTGCTTTTTTTACTTTTATATTTTTTTATTTATCTATTTGTTAGTATTTGAATTACAATCTCGACTGCTAGTTATTTTTGCTTTAAAGCAGGGTAAACATTTTACTCTCTTACGAACCTTTATTGACGTTCCCGGCCATATCAGCTGATCCGCCAACAGAGACCGCCTGAACGTAAATGCCGCCATTACCCTCCATCACTTGTAAACCTATGCTGCCACCGTGGCCGCGTTCCAACTTGATCGTGTGTAAAACTCGTTCCTCGGCAAACGACAGCTCTTCTAAACGAGCCATTAAAGATGCCGACATCGATTCGTCTTCCGGAACTCGAAAAGTTTCGTCGTCGGTTCGTATATCGGCATCTGTCGAGGAAAATAAAACGGAGTTAAGTAAAACACTTTAGTTCTCGTATGATTCTTACATATATAAAATATATTTATACACATATATAAAAATTATAAATATATTTTACATATATATAAAATATAATTAAATAATATAATTAAATAATAATTATTTACTTAGCACATATGCTTCCGGCATGGGTGATTCGGTGGATCGCGCTGATATTGATTGAATGGACGATTCGGTATCGGATTTTAATGATAGCGATTCCGTGTCGTCGGTAAGCGCGATATCTTTCTGCACCAAGCTGCTGTAGATCGCTCGAGTTCCCATTTTCACGCCCAATCGACGTGGTAAGCTGGGTGTACGAAAACCACCCGACTGTTTTGGCGCGCCATAATTCGGTAAACTAGATGTCTTCATCTAGAATAATAAAATATTGTTAGAGAGGTATGATTAACATTTCAAAAGTAATTCAAAACCGAAAACTTTTAAACGATAAGTTCGGATATTTGAAAGAATAATGAACGATTTGTATAATATATATTAAAGCACTACCTTTTGTAGTGTTTTTCTTACGTCTGATACATTCCAAACTTCGTCCGGAACAGGAAACTTGCTCTTTCCCGATAGACGCACCTTATTAATAGCGGCGTATAATTCTTCAGGATTGTTAGGTTTATCCAGTTGATTGATGTTGTTCGATATTGTTTTCGGGAGCGAATACGTGCATTCAGTTTCAGTCTCGCTGTCTATATGAGGGGAACCGTAGAGTTTATCGTCCTTCGATTTCGTTTCCAATAAGCTTGATTTAGGTTCCAACAAAATCTCATTTGGCGTCGTTAAACCTCTCTCCGATTCCTCTTCTGTGTCTCGCGATTGACCTTCTGGCTCCAGTCGCACGTTTACTTGCGCGTAAAGAGCATCTTCTTCGGACGAATAAAAGCCGGGTTCACGACCGACGTCTTTCGTTGCCACCACGTTATTGTCCTTCTGAGGATTTTCGTTCTCCTTATTTTGATACTCCTCCAATTGCATTGGATAATTCATTTTCTTTTGCACCTTGACTGTATTTGCAATCGCTATTTTAGTTTTACCGTCATTGATCTTGACTTTCAATGGCGATGGTTTGGTTTCCGTTGTCAGGGGTACTCCAAAATCTGAAAAATGACGAAGATTGATTTTATATTCGGATGTTTCGAAAAAAATAACACTTTATAAAACATTTATTAAATATTATTTTTTTTATATTAATTATTTTATTTTATAGACATTATAACAAATTTAATAACAATAAAACACAATTTGAGAAATATTAGTAGCATTAATTAAAGTATTCAAATTATATTTTTGTATTTAACTTTTTCGTTGATTTATCAATATGATTATAATATCGAGTTTAATTTTCTCGAATATTTACTTTCCGAAAAGATTTTTATAGGAAAGGAAAATATGAAAATTCTTCGTTCGTTCGACAAAGTGTCATAAATTAACTAGTTGAAACTACTATGTAACTTTTGCGAAAGTTCAAATTCTAAGCATTTCAGCAAATTTAATCGTTAGAAAGGAACGTGTATATACATATATATACCTTTCGCGAGACCCTGGAGCGATGTAAGCTCCGAACGAAGCCTTAGGAAGAACTGATGATGCAGGGAAGTTAGCTTAAAGGCGAAGTAACTTCTGGAAAATAGAGAGATAACATACACTTTATATAAGTCGTTACTGCAAGTGGCAGTGGATAACAATGCATGGTGATATAGGTATATTCAATAGACATTTTCGCGTTCGCTGACACTTCGTACTACTCAAATCGCGACGGGTTAACTTACTTTCGATGATCCATCCGTAGCTTGAACTTGCATCGTTTCCCGTTCAACTTGCTATACACTACTAGGCAACTTTTGCTGTAACTCAACGTTTGCACATCCCGCCACTGAAAGTGAGCCAGTTCCGTTCTCTCCCTCGGCTCTCCTCCTCGTTCCAGCAGCTTCAAGCCTTGAGCGTGTATCGCCAGCCACACGTTGCTCTCCGTTTTCCTCTTGCCGGTCTTATTCTTATTGTTATTGCCGTTAATGCCATTAATGATAGTATTGTTATTATTGTTCTTATTATTGCACATTTCGTCGTGGTACAATCTCGCGCTTTTTGCGTGCTTGTCCGTGTAAGGAATCATCGGCGCGTTCTCGCGAGAGCCTAATCGCGGGATCCCGATGTTGCCGTAAGCAGGACAGGCTTTCTGTTCTGCAGACTTCTTCTGACGATAAGCGTTTTCCGCGCCGTCGAGCGACGACACGACGTCGCGGTTGTCGGACACGGTCCTCTTCCCTTTCCTCTGCTGTGCCATTAGCTTCTCGAGCTCCTTCGAGTCCACCGTAGCGATGTAGTAGTGTGAGCCGTAATCCGGCAGGGACTGTGCGTGAGTTATGAACATCTCCTCGGCTTTGTTCGAGTCTAAGCCACGGCGATCGCGGTGAGCCCGGTGTAGCTGCGCCCGAAGTGTATTGGCGTCGACGCAGGGCTGCGATTGATGCCGGTCTGCGCTCAATATCAAGGACTCCGGCACGTAATGCTCGAGGAGGAAATAATGCCCACAGCCGTGCTCCTGTGGAACGTAAAATAATTCCGATAAAACAGAGAAATTATTGTTTATTGCCTACGGGTCAAAACAACGTTTCTAATATTATTTCCTTAGATAAAGCATCTCTGAAACGCTTTATTATTACTAGCTGAATTTTTTCTTTCTTTTTTTTCTATATAATAGCTGAATTTATATTAGAAATAAAAAAAAATTCTTTTTTATTTAAATGTTAGTAATCTTAAATTTAGAAATTCTTCGATATTGAAATCATAAGATTATAAGATTTTTCGAATTTGCATTTGCACGCACGGATTTTTATAAAACATCCGAGATCTTATAAAAGATCTTATAAAAGTTAATTGTCTTAATAAATAGGAGGATGTAAAATTTTCGCAAAAAGTCGCATATATGCTCGATACGATGACGTAGTTTCTAATTTTGTTTAACTCCTATTATTTAGAGTTTAACTATTGTTCGCGAACATTTCATCATTCCGTATCGTTGACGGTAATTTCATCTCAAGAATAGCGTGTATCGTGTAATTCTCCTTAACTCACATTGACGTTGTAGTTTCCAAATTCGGCTTGAAGTGCAAGGCCTGTCAGATTGATTAATTCGGAATAGGGGCAGACCAATTGCTGCTCCAATATACATCGCCTTATTTGTAGATATAGCAGATGCTTCGATATCCAGCTCCTGTGAAAGTGATAAGTTAGTTGTAATCGAGATGCAATAATGTTATTGTTGGGGCTCATTTGAGAACGAACCTGATACCACGAAGGGATGGTAGGAAGAATCGAAGCCGCAGGTACAGCATGAAACTGGTCGGTAGACCCAGGAGACTTTTGCTCTTGCCGCTGCTTAACCATCCCGGTGGTGCGACTTTATTTAATTTTGTATCGGGCGGTAATATCGCGAAATCCCCGGCCAGTAGTACAGCCAGTCCCAGAGTGAAATTCTCGTCTAGGCTCTCCGCTTGGACAATAGCCTGAAAGGATTTGCGTATAACGTGTAAAGCAATATTAGATGCTCGTGTCTGGAAATTGGAAACGATTAATATACATGTGAGTTTAACTGATAGTAATTCGTCTTGATTAATACAGCAGATAAATGTATTATAATCATATCGGATAGTTTAATTTCTTGATATAAATATGTTGCATTTATTTACATCTCGATACGCGACATAATAATTTCTACTAAAATCGAATATATAAACTTACATGAACATTATACTTTTACTTGAAATTTTTAAATTTTTATTGATATTTATATTTCCTTCGATATTTATCGCATATTAAATTTATGCAATAAAAGCAAAATATGCGAGATAGAAAGCTGAGATAATGTTCATAAACTATGATTCCTCACGGAATTTATGATGTGAGACCAGCAATTAAATGCAGAGAGCGCGGTTGCATTTAATTGCTCTAAAAGTTTATTGTAGCACGACGCACGATACCTATATTTTCACCGCAGAGATAATTTTCTATTGGCACGAATTTGCAAGAGTAACCTAATTGGGAAGTTCGCGGTGAATTCTCTCTCTCGAGCGTCGCCCCATAAATCGACCATCTATTAAAAACTGCACGCCAAAATACTCCGGTCACGTTCGAAAGCTTCAATTAAGTGGTAGATATATAGAAAGAAAAGAAAGTGAATTTATAAGATAGACACTTGTCTTTCTGAAGTACCGAACCTCTAAATGGTATTAAATTTATTTGCTACACTCTCTCGTCCTCTTCCTTCTACTTTAACATCTTTGCAAACAAAGGTTCTATAAGCTTTTTATATATACGCTCCTCTAAAATTTTAAAGGTCGCTGCTATTAATATCCTAATCATGAGTAAATAAATTTTTATTTTCAATCATTATAATGGTTTTAGTTGGTATATAATTTGTTTTAATTAATATTTTTATAAATAATTTATAATAATATGCTAACTCCTGCGATTCTTTCATTATATTACATTAATATTACAAGTAAAACATCTATAATGTTGGACGTAAATATTAAAATGAATAGATTTTTATGAAACAAGAAGGAATTGCGATATATATATAATCATTGTTGAGATCACATAACTCGTGGTTTGTGGATGTGTCGTATATAATGATTAGGCTTGGCGGCTCGCCAGAACTTCTCGCGAGTTCACGCCGGAATTTGTGGTCTCGTAAACAATCAGACACATCTTGGCTTTCGCGGCCCAAACGTGGTTTTGAAAGGCCACTACCATGCGAGTATTACGATCGAATCAGTTCCGTTCGAGAACTAGCGGATAAACATTTTTTAAAGGATTCTTTTCACGCATGGGTAGAGTACATTTTTCCGTACTCGCAGTAAATAAAAGCATATAATTTTTTCGCGAAAGAGTCTTCAGACATCATATATTTCACTTACAGATGATACAATTTATTAGCGTCCTGAGAGGAATAGTTTCAGAGAAGACTTTTACGAAGCGAAAAAGTTTTACGTGATAAAACAGAATAATACATTTAAAGAAAAAAATCGTCGAATGAGGATCATTTGTAATATTTTAATAAATTTTACTAATTCATTAAAAATGTTTATTACATTGGTGAATTATACAATATATATTTTATAATATTTCTTTATTATTTTCAAATTTACATGTTACGTACAAATTGATAAAGAAAATAATAATTATTAGTGACATGATACACACACGCGCATACTAATTTGCAGATAAATAAATGTACTGTAAATGTTTATCAAGAATCGAATAATGATCATGTTACAAATGAAAAATAATGATTGATGCGTTTGATTTTATTCTTAATGATAATCTTTTTCTTATCATTTATTATTGCTGTTTTATGACATTTTTATTTTCTGTTATCTTATGATATTATCAAATTCAATATCAGTACTGATCATATGGGAAAATGCTTCTTTTAATAGAATGGCTTTAATTCATTAACTAAGATGTAATTGGTCGGTAAATTGAGTTTCTTATCGATGACGGACACTCTCCGTCGCGAATTCTCGATAGCTTGCAGTTTTGATCGAATTTTAATCAATTTTCTTAAGAACGTGATACGCGACACAGTCGAATTTTAAATTTTAGAGAACATTTCCTCCCTAGATAAACTTTTAATTAATAATTTTTATGGAAAGATCATAATTTTGATGTATCAAAAAAAAAATTTTTTTTTAAATTTAAAATGTGCATTATTTCCGTCAGGATTTAATAATTATCATCGAAAAGAAATTAAATATTTGCAAATAATTTGATTTATTTTCAAAGCTTACCTGAAATAAATCTCCAGCGGTGACCTTTTGAGGATCGCATGTTACCTCTACGCGTTGTCCTGTCAGCATTATTACGACTATCCGGCCAGAACTGCCCGCCTACACCGAATGAGTTATTAATTTATCATTATTGTATTAGTTCACTTTTATTTCTTTTTTTTGTGCAGTTTTATATTGATATACCTAGCTATTTATTTATTTCTTGTATCAAAAGAAATGTCAAAGTCCTTGGCAAGATTATTAATTTTAGAGATTACATTAATTGATATATTTTTTCTAGTTATCTATCTATTTGTGCATTCTATATGTATTATAAATTATAAATTTTATTTTATCTAATAATATATAACAATTTCAAATATATATTTTGAAATATATTGATCAGCATGTCATGTATACAGCAAGGATTAGTCATGATACCGTGATCCGGTATGGTCTAGTGGCTAGGATACCTGGCTTTCACCCAGGAGGCTCGGGTTCGATTCCCGGTACCGGAATCTTTTTGGTTCCAGCTTCCCCGGTAGATAACTACAAGTGTACGTTTAGGGCCACCCGTTATTGTAATCCGGTATGGTCTAGTGGCTAGGATACCTGGCTTTCACCCAGGAGGCTCGGGTTCGATTCCCGGTACCGGAAATTTTTTTTTTCTATGTTTTAAACTTGGTAAAGATGATATTTATTATCATCTACATTAAAATTATTTTGCAAGAGCATTATAATAAAACTGAAAAAGCAACACATTAAAAAAATTTTGTCAAAAGTTTTGATATTTTTTTTATGTAAGAACTAATCACAATAATAAATTAAAATAGATATAATTTACTAAATTTTTTTAATATACCAAAAATTTGAACATATATTTTTAATAAAAATGATACTTTTTTTGATATTATATTTTATGCAGTAATAATATTATAGATTGTATTGGCTATCATTTTTTTAAATTAATGTGTACAATATATCATAAATAACTTATATAATATTTTAAATATTTAAATTAAAGTTGAATCTATCGATAAACTCTTGATATTGGAATTTTAGCCTCCTCATATTCAATCCGGTATGGTCTAGTGGCTAGGATACCTGGCTTTCACCCAGGAGGCTCGGGTTCGATTCCCGGTACCGGAATCTTTTTTTGTCATAAATATTTTTTTATATATGCATACACAATATGTATTTTGTATATTAATAATAACATATCTAATATGTGTTAGTTAATTTATTTGATCAATATTCACGAATTATCAAATTAACGTTTTTTATAGATATTCAAAAACTTAATATTATATAAAAAATATATATACATATAAATATTGATTTATCATTTGTAACTGTAAATTTTTTGTATGTTTATTTTTATCGAAATTTAATTTTTTTATCAAAATTTAGTATTTTATTATATTATTTTATTTTATTATAAAGCGTTGTTTGTTTCTAAACAATTTAAATATTAATTAATAGAACTTGTTAATTACTGAAGAGATATTCTCTCTCATTTTGGAGTAATATAATGTATTTGATATATTTAAAAAAAATATTATATATTATTTCTATTTGACATGTCATCATGATTTGTAGCACAACCATCATCATCATCCGGTATGGTCTAGTGGCTAGGATACCTGGCTCTCACCCAGGAGGCTCGGGTTCGATTCCCGGTACCGGAATCTTTTTTTGTCATAAATATTTTTTTATATATGCATACACAATATGTATTTTGTATATTAATAATAACATATCTAATATGTGTTAGTTAATTTATTTGATCAATATTCACGAATTATCAAATTAACGTTTTTTATAGATATTCAAAAACTTAATATTATATAAAAAATATATATACATATAAATATTGATTTATCATTTGTAACTGTATCTTTTGCAAATTTATATTTTTGCAAATATTTGAACATGTCCGGTTTTTGCATTCTCTTTTTCTCTTTCTTTATATTGATAGAAATTTATATGACATTTATTTAACGTTTAATTAATTAGATGAATGATCAAAATCGGATGAAGACGATGATATGTGACATAAAAACCGTACAACATCCGGTATGGTCTAGTGGCTAGGATACCTGGCTCTCACCCAGGAGGCTCGGGTTCGATTCCCGGTACCGGAAATTATTTTTTGTTTGCAGTTTTTGTAGAATTTTACATTTGTAAGAAAATTGCTTGGTTAATTATCGAAATTCTTTTATCTTTTAAGTGGTTTGTTTTTTGAAAATGACAGTATGATTATATAGAAAGTGAATAGGACGCAGGAGATTTGAACATTTTTACTAAAAATGTTTTGTATAATCATTTTTGTGTAATTTTGATAATTTTATGACGAATCATAAATTAAAAATGTATGTGCGTGTGTATATATCAGAACAAGTGGAAGTTCCAAATCATCTAACGTCCTGTTCCTGATTATTTGCTTTTATTTTCATACCTTGACTTGACCCACGCACAATGTTTTTGAGGGCTGATTGGCACGAACGACAAATTCAGGACCTACACATTGCGCTTTATTGAAACATCTCATAGGTCCACCAACCGTTCTATACAGGCGCGATGGTGCTCTTTGCACTGCTTTTCCCCGCCGAGCTCTTGGTCCGTTTTTCACCATAATTCTGGAACAATATTTTTTCACAGTTTCCTCAAATTATTAACAGGTCAACTTTTTTATTATATATAAAAACATATAAGTTATAGAAAAAACGTAGTAAAATGTGTGTAAGGTGAATGTTGATTGCGGTTGTTGATAAGCTGAAATTGAAAAGGCTGAACTCGCGATTCGTTTTTTCTGTGACCATGTGATTAATATGGATCGAGTCGAGTAGAAGTTCTCATTCGGCATAACAGATGTCCGCGATATACTTAATTATACAGCGGACCGAAACGCTTATAGCAAAATTTCGCAGAGACGTGGAACGCGATCTGCTATATATGCAGTGATATTAACTCTCGCGCCGAGTTTAATTAAAGTTTAACTAGGGTAGACTCCGGATGCTTTTTTAGAGCAGTCATCGCTAAGTGCCTTCTTGTTTCGTCTCTCTTTCTTTATCTGTTCTTCTCTTCTCTCCATCTTTTACCGTTCGTATTAATTTGGCATGAAGAGAACGAGATATGAAAAAGAGTGTCACGGATTCTTCCGAGGCCGAATCCATTTTTACGATGCGTTAAGGATATAATGCCCTTGAGAGAAAGTAATAATAATCTATGGTTGACATAAAAAAGTGCAAAAAAATGCACTTGCTCTCGTCCACATTTTTAAAAAATAAGCAGGTTAAAATTTTACAGAGCAATATGACTTATTAATCAACTAATCAATTAATTATTAATGAAAATTTTAAAAATTAAATGTGACTTTGAAAAAAAGTTCAATATTTGGCAAAAAATACATTTATTATTAAACCGATTTTTCAAAGGCATCTATAAAAAGACCTATCGTTTAAATTTTGCTTTGAGCAGTATTTTGAATGTTGACAGTGACAAGTAACATTTATATTCTACTGATATTTCCGGAATTGAATTCACGCTGAAAATCGTTCCAATGATTATTTTACCGCTTTTATGTGTTAGAGTCGCAAAGGCAGTTTTAATTTACCCATTGATTACGATTTAATTTCTAGATATAACAATTAATATCAATTTGCCGACTAATTACATGGACTTTTTTCTTTTATTTCTGCTGGACTAAATATCATCGTAAAATCTAGTACTTCGCAATTTTCGCGAAGGTCAAAGGTTCGCCGTCACGCGTCACGTTTCGACCTTTCCACGGCTAACGTGGAGGCGGAATGGTCGACCAGCATGCATTACCTTGCAACTGGCTGCATCATCCAGTTGATTTCACGCGCTTTGAATATATTCTGTGCACTTCGAAACCACTGATGTTTGCGTTGAGGAGGGCCCACGCTTCTCTGCGAGAACGAACCCGGTACCATCGAAAGCGTTTATTAACGCGAACATATGACTGGGAGACAAAACTTAATAATGCGGGTCGCACGCGAACATCTCGGAACTGTTTAACGTTCTTCTTGTGCTCTAATTTAATGTCTGCTCTCGTCGCAAGATTGATGAAATTCCCGCAAGGAAAGTACGAATTTTGGGAGAAATAGGTATAAATTTCCAGATTCTTCGTCTCGTAATTTGATGTTATACAATATTGCGAATTCGCTCTTCCTCGCACGACACTGCCATATATGAGTATTGCTTCAAGAGAGCTTTGAAACCTCGTGACAGCTGACTTTTCTCTCTACTTTTTTATTTGGAGAGAAATACTGTTACTAAATATATAAAAGGAAATTTAATTAAGGGAATGAAAATACTAGAAACGCTTCTTTTTCCTTTTCTTTTTTCATTCTCCTCGCTTCGAACGAAATTAATTATTGATGAAAATTTTATTCGAATAGAAAATGAACGACTTGTAGCGACTCAGAAAATATAAATTGCTACAGAAATGCACATTTTCTTGTTATAATAAATAACAACGTTACCTTAAGTTTTTAGAGAATAATTCATTTTCTTCTTTCTTTTATCGTAATTTAGTGATTTAATAGAGTACAGTGAATTTACGCTCAGATAATTAACTACGTAAATACAAACAAATGGAAAAAATTACCTGGGAGGTTTCGCCGGCGGTTCCGTCTGGCTATTACATTCCGAGTCGGAAAGAGCAGCTCTTCTTAGAGTGGTGATAATTCGGGGTGGTTTTGGGGGTCCTTGGATTCCCCTGAGCCTCATGGAAGGCACTGGATTTTGTTGTCGAATAATTTGTTCTTCCTTTTGCGCGACGCATCGAGGTTCGGTCGTCGCGATGCTTGGTTGTGACAATCGCTTGAAATCATCATCAACTTGCGTTTTGTTAGGCAGTTGCGGGTTCGAATGTTGTCTTTGCAGAACCATTTTTCTCGTAGGTGTGCGTTCATAAATATCCTCGTGAAGGCGTTCGTTCGGTTGCGATATTACGTCGGGCTGAGAGCGACCGGTGTTTGAAGGATGCCTGTTCGTTTTTAATATTTGAAAATGAAAAAAGGATATTGCGCAGAATAGAATTAATTAAATATTAATAATTCATTTGATCTTTTCACTTTTAGCGAAATTATATTTAAGATTAGAAATAAAAATTTTATTAATAATTAATATATCATAATTATATTTATAT